GCGGAAGATGGTGCGCTGGGGGGGGGCAGGACTGTGGGGTGCGGTCAGCGCATGCGCAGGAGGCGTGGCGCGGAGCGGCTTGCGAAACTGAGCACAGTAACGCGCGGGCCTTTTGATGTAGACGTCTGGCAGCAGGCGCCGATTTTCTCAGGCTCCCTGACGAAAGCCTAGATTGTTTTGTCTGCTTGTTTTAATTTGTTTCTTTATTTATTGCGCAGTAAATGGCAATTCCTGAGCTGGTGACCTTGAACTTTTGATCTTCCTGCCTTCTCTTTCGGAGTGCTGGGATCGTGGCGCGTGCCACAGCGCCCGGGTGTTTTACTTTTTCCAGACCTGGCTGATCTGGTACTCCCTGCCCTCGTATCTCAGCCTCCAGAATGCTCAGGATACAAGCTTGCGGGTCGCGCTGGGTTATTTAAAACACGAGGCAGGGAGTCCTTGCCTTTCTGGGTCGTCTGCAGAGAAGAAAAAACTCGATACGGCCCCACCCCTTCTTGAAACTGCGGGAGCGTGATAGTGTTGCGTTTGCGGTCCACAGGAATGCTATCCCCAGCCGCGCAGACGGGTGGGGGGAACGCATATCAATTCCTCCTAAAAAAACTTCTCTCTCGCTTGCGCATCCCGGCTGAGAATTTATGCTTTGTAAAACCCTTGGCACATTGGGACATAACTCCTTGAGAACCTCTGTAGATTAGGTATCTCACTTCTCATACACTCCCCCACTTCAGCCGCCATTGAACAGTGTGTGACGCAAACTTCCTTGCCTTCTGAACGGGGCACCCAGACACCTAGTGTCTTGAGCAAACCATACAGAAGAAGAACGAAGTTTGGTGCAGTGTAAACAGAACAAACCCCCCTCCGAACCCTAGGGAATCTGTGGAGGACACGATACATGTGCTGTTTGAAGGAACCCTCACAAGAATTCATACAGAAAAAGGCACCAGTTCTCTTGGCATGTGGACGAAGTGTAGTCATTGTGTTTATCTGAATTGGAGCGCTGGGATATAAATAGTCGTAATGCCTGCTGTTCTGGCCTTCCAGCCCTTGTAATTAAAACTGAACTACAGAAAGACTGATTCTTGGCTGTCCCAAGCTGTGTTCGTTCAGATGGGGTCTGTAACTGGGTTTTGATGATTTCTAGCAGTGGGAAATAGCTTTCCAGTTTTGTGCTATCTCATGTAAGCCTTGTATCAACTCCAAAGGAGGACCATTTTATTGATGGGTAAAGCTAGACCAACCCTGCTGGGGAGCTGGCTCAGGACCCAGCACAGAAGAGCTGGGTATGATGATAGGCACTATAATCACAGCACCGGGGGCCAAAGACAGGCAGATCTCAGGGGCTTCAGGGCCAGCCGGTCTAGTCAAAACAAAGGTCCAGGTGCAGTGAGAGACTCTTTCTGTTTTCTCCAGAGACAGGGTCTATTATGTAGCTCTGGCTGGCCTGGAACTTGATACATAGATCAGGCTGACCTCAAACTCACACCTAAATACACATATGTACACACACACACACATACACTACATACACACATACCAAGGCAGCATATTTGGTTTGGTTAAGGTCAAAAAGCAAGTTACCGAAGCATCAGAGTGAGCAATAGGACAATACAGATAAATAACTGAATTGCGATAAGGACCCAGGCAGGCTGCTCTCTCTGATCTTATGAAGCCATGTTTTGGGGATTTAAAACCAACCTATCCTTACAAGCTTTTGATATCACAAGTAACATATGAAGCCAGACACAAGAACAGTACATGCCTATAATCCCAGTAATTTGTGTGTGGGGGGGGGCAAGCAGGAGGATCAGGAGTTAGTTCAAGGCTAGTCTCAGCTGCAAAGTTAAGTTGAGTGAGACTGGGCCTCAAAGATTCAACAAAAGTTAAGAGAGAAAATGAAATTGTTATCCTGAGTGGAAAATTATAATGAAACAAAACCACAAAGCCAGATCATATTTATGGATAAATATATTAGCAAATAAATACATTTCTCAACATAGTGCCTGATTCAAGCATCTTTCTGTCTGGTTCAGATATAAATACCTATGTGGGTGCCTGGGTGCCAGTCTCCTCACTGACTCTGAGGAGAGAAGGTTCCCAAGTAGGATCCCATGGCCATTTTGCCCCCACATTCACATTCCAGGCAAGGATAATGCCTGAGGGGCTAACAATGGTTAGGATGTCCTGGGATGAAGAGCTCCAGGAGGCCCCTCAGCCCTTGTCCACTTGGTACAAGCTGCCCAGGCCAACTTGTTGCCCTAATTCCACGTGTACACCTTCTGCTGGGTTGTATGGCTTCACTGGGAAGGTGGGCCTCTGGGTCCTGCAAACCCACGAGGTCACATGCCATTCTCCATCTTTGCTCTGAGACTCACTCTGAGAGGAATTCTGTCCTTGCTCAGCTGTGGTTTTGCTTTCCCTGCCTTCATCTCATTCCTCCTCTTCCCAGATGGTCGGTTTCCTCTGTCTGTTGTGGGACTCAGAGACAGGAGAGCTTCCAGGAGAAGCTGTTCTCTCTCTTCCTGCTCTCTACCTCAGAGGAACTGGAGGTGCTGGAGTGACGCGGAGTTTGATCATCAAAAGATTCATCCCAGGTTGGTCAAAAGTCCCCACCTCTGGGACCGAACACTACACCCTGGCTCCCGAAGCCTGCAACTTAAGATTAGTTTAAGAACAGGGAAGGAGACGACTCCTCCCTGAGCACCAGGGCAGGTACTGGCTAGAGAAGGTGCAGAGACCTCCCTAAGGACAGGGCCTCACCAAATCCCCTGGTTCTTGTGTGAAGACGGGGACTGATCAAGCTGAAGTCGCCCCTGTGAAGCCATGACAGGAGGTGAGAGGCAGCCATGCCCTCAGCCTAACCCATTGGCTTGTGTGAACCTGAAGCCTGGGGCAAAGGTGACCCAGCAGGAGACCCAGCTGGGCTGGGGAAAGAGCAGCACCTTGAGGACGCCTAGACATTCACCCTAGCTTCCTGTCAAAAACTCAGCCTTTCCAGACCCACCCCACAACTGCATTGTGGCTGGCGGTCTGGCTGGACACAAGACCTTCTGCACGGTAGGTGTGTTCTGCCGACAAGCCTGGGAGCTAGGGGCAGGGAGCAGCACCTCCTGCCACCCACCATCACCACTCTTCTTCCAGTGGTCCCAGGAAGTGCGGCAAAAAGAGAGGTTTGCTGAGGCTTCTCCCAGGAGCAGACCCCTTTGCCGGGTAGAACCCTGAGTCGTCTGGAGCACACCCGTGGTTGGAGCTATGTCTGGTCATCTCCCATCACACAGCCTGTTCACAGAGCTCCTCAAGCTCCTCCTCCGAGCCTGCATGGGAAGAGAGGGGAGAAAAAGGTCACGGAGGGTCCAGCTAGTTTCCTGCTTCTCCCACCTGTGGAGATTGGCCGGGGAGGGACCGCAGAGACGGAGACGTGGGAATATATCTGGAAAGGTGATTAGGCTGAAAGCTGAGAGGGGCCCTTTGGGAAACGGGAGTAAAAAAACAAACCCAGAGAAATACTTGCAGCAACCCTGTATGACCAGTATTTACTATTCATTCATTCACCCAATAAATATTTATTAAGTATTCACTTTGAACTTGGCTTGCTACCATTTGCTGAACAGGATCTCCAAAAGAATAAGCTAGGAGAGGAAGCATGCATGCACATGGATCTTACGGCAGTGGCACAGACCGAGGGTCATGAGAGGTGCATCATGGGAGGGGAGAGAGCACATCCAGGCACAGCAGTGAGGAAAGACTTTCTGACTGAAGATTGGCGAGCTGGAGTTACAGGAATGGCAAGAATTGGGTTTGTAGGAACAGGGAAGTCAGTGGGATATCCTGGGCAGTAGGAACTAGAACTAGTGTTTCCCCAACGTGACTGAAGCCGAGGGCAGAGGAAGGGACGGGAAATGGAGCTCGCTGGCCCTGAAGGCCATGTTAGGTTAGATTTTTCCTTCCTGTGGACCTAACAGAGCATTTGCTTCTAGACAGTTCACGGAAAGGCTGGTGAGCCTAGCAGCAGCATGGGGTAGCAGAAGGAGTAGCTGTGGGGCACAACTGTATGGTACCAGGCATGCAGCCCTCTGGCCTTCATGGCCCTGTCAGAGGGAGGCTCCAGCTTTGACCCTCAGGCTGTGCCCCACAAGGGGAGGGGCTGTCAGCAGTGGACCCGAGGAGAAGATGACAGCTAACACAGGAAAATGAGGGAGCGTTGACTCCGGAGCAAAAGGGAGACTGAGCTGGCAGCACCCAAAGCAGAGACGACCGAGCCCAAAGGGAACACCACCAAACACCTGGCCCATGCTCACACCACACGACTGTGAACACATCCATCCCACACACTGCTTGCATGCACGCCTCTCCATGGACCTGAGCAAGCTTTGCGTCCTCAGAAGCCTGCCTAGAACCTACCACATAGCAAATGTGTAATCAGGAGGAAATGAATAAGTGAGTGTCCGTAGCTCCCAAGCCCTGCCTGTAGAATTCCGGGTCTTGTATTTCGGGACCTCTGGAGTCCTCTTTTGAGGGAGAAGGGTTCTTCTAGAAATGGCTATAGGCAAAGAAATGTGCCGTTCATATACTGTCTCTCAAAGGTGGGAGGGAGTGGGAGGTAAGAGCCTTGGAAAGGGAGTATGGTTTGGGCAAATAAATGCTCAAATGCTTTTGGCTTAGAGCCAAGGATTTACATCGGCGCTGTTGGCTGAGACACAGAAATGCCATGAGTTCCCATGAAGATGTGGCTGGCCTTACTAACAAGAGTGCTCGGAAGAGACGGGCTGCTAGGGAAGCTGGGAACTCCCTGTGATTTCTGCGCTTTAGATAAGTTACAGCCCTTGGCTTTCAGCAACCCCATGGCTGTTTTCATCTGCCCCGCAACATCCAGGTGTAGTGCCCTCTCCCCAGAACACCTGCTTCCCTGAAAACTCACCAGGCTGGGCTGGTAGCACCTGGCAGTGTGGATAAGGGCATGATCTGCCCTCTGGCATGTCAGAACTCCACTCGGAATGTCCCTCTCCAGGAGAGCATGGTCCCAGAGGCTGGCGGGGGGGCAGATACAACCACACTGGCTGTGAACGCGAGTAACAGGGGCCTGGGGCTTCATACAGCAGCCTCTTGTCCAGGCCTGGAGGTCTGAAGATCAATGGATGAGCCTCTGGGGGCCAAGGGTATGCTAGGCTGGGGCTGTAACGGGGGAAAACCTGGCAAGCTGGGTGCCCAGTCAAGTCCTGGGGCCGAGAGGTTGGCAAGGGTTCTGAGAGGCCACCCCGCCGTTTTCTCTGTGGGTGTCGGACAGGGAGGCTGGATTTCTGCAAGTTCAAAAGACTGTTGGGGTTGGAATTGGGGTTGGGGCTGGCAGCTTCTGCTAGGCCAGGAGCTGGCTCTGTAAGGGACCTGGGCCGGTGCGTGTTGGGGAACACTGAAGAAGCTGCCGGGTTGGGCGTGGTCAACTTCGGGTCCAAGATAGATGGCTCCGGTTGGAGTTGAGTCTGAGAAGCAGTAGGCCTGGGCTGAGGGACATTTTCTGGGCCAGGCTTCCTGCCATGCCACTGGAACCGCTTTTTGTAGTGGTGGTGGCCGTGGCGGTGATAGTGGATGTGGCTGGAAACCTGAGTCTCCCCAGTGGGCACCACTGACTCCAGGGAACGAGGTCGAGAGGTCACACTAGGTTGCGTTCCTTTCCCTCGGAGATCCCCTTCAGGGCTGCAGTACACCAAGGGGTCAAAGTCACTGCTCAGGGAGCTGTGGAAGGTCGAACTGCTGCCATGGATGCCCTGCAGGCTGATGTCCGTGCAGTTGACCACTGAGTCACTGGAAGAGCCATGACAGGGCCCTGAGCTGGAGTCACTGGCTGGCCCATCTGCCAAGTAGCCGCTGCGTTCCGTACAGTAGCTTTCTCCAGACCCGCTGCTGTCATGAGGCCTAGCCCGACGTAGGGCCGCTGGGCAAGTTGTGGGGTGCTGAGAGCTACATCGGAGGCGCCTCAGCCCCCAGCCCTGTGCGTAGGGGTGCTGAGGTACTGCCAGGTGCTGCTGTTCTTCCGGAACCCGAAGATGTGAAGCCCTGGGTAGGCGTTGATGCCGAGAGCCCATTCTCGGCTCCTGGGAGGGCAGGAAGGGCCTAGGTCTTGGGGGGCCGGCTCCTGAATTCCTGGAAGGCCCCAACAGGTAGGCAGAAGGGAGATGATAGTGGGCATGGCCAGGATGCTGGCGAATGAGGTGGAGTCTCCTGCCTGGTTCCTGGTAAGATGGAGAGGCTCCCAGGCCCTGGGAAAATGAATCTCCTTCTGAAAAAAAGAACAAAGAACATGCACATTTGATTTCACAGACACAGACTCCGTTCAGAGAATGAACGCAGAAAGGCTACCCTGTCTGATCCTGCATTGCCTCTGAACTCAGTTTGGGACACCAAGAACATCTAATCTAAAATTTGCCTGAGACTGGACTTAACTCCTCCTTTTTGTCAGGGCTGTCAATCCCTGCTCCTCTGGTCAGCCATCCCGGGCTCTTTCACCCAGGGCCGCCATTAGCTCACACTGTCCCTTTGGATGAACTAGCACAAGGTTCTTTTCCTTCAAGATACTGATTTCATATCCTTTTTTCTTTCTTTTTTTTTTTTTTAGAAAATTGTTATATCGATTTTATTAGACTAGGACCCTTTATTGCCAAACATTAGAACAATGAATTTGAAAATAACCCAGATTTAGAATCAACAATACTGTCGGGAAAACACGCTCTTTGAGCAAGCGAAGATGGCTTCCACTCGGACAGCCCTCCCCAGCAGACAAGGTGCTCTTGAGCAGCGTGCAGCTGAAGCCACCATGGTGGCAGCTGCTTCTCTTTAGTCTCACAGTAGAAAGTCTTTCCCAGAGGGCAGTTATGTTCTAGATCCATCTGTGGGCACAAGGGGAGCCCTCGGTCCACCTCCTACCTACGATGTTGAACATGCAGAGGGGGCAAGTCTGATGCTGGTGTAGCCAGGGGTCCACGCAGGTACGATGGAACTCATGGAGGCAGGAAATGACCCGGAGCTCCTGAAGCAAACGAGAGTGTCCCAACCAAAGGTTACAAGGATCTCCCTGACTCACCTACTTGCAAAATAACAGGAGAGTATTGGATGTATGGGCTTTGGTAGCTGGTGGATTTGCGTTAAGATGCACGACTTTGGGCAAGTCTCTCTCTCTCTCTCT